ATATTTTTATAACGTATGAAAAATCACTTGCATAAAATGTCGTATTCATAAAAATAAAATCCACATTAAAATAAAGATAGATACAAAACAATAGAACCATAGACAATAATAAAACATAAATTAATAAATATACCGGAAATGATGTAACTTCTGTTAGTTTTTCATATACTACAATCAGCACACATGTGGTAGGCACTAGGAAGAAAGCAAAGAAAAAATGAGGGAGAGGAAAAACTAGAGCGGGACGGAAAAGTGGGAGAAAAACGAAAAATTCGAGCCCCCCCCCCTCCCGCGGACCCCATACTACCCCCCCGGTACACCCGGCCACCCCCCACACGCACACACGCGCGGTGTACGGCGGGCGAATAGTCTTGATACTATACTTTCACTTTTCCGGTATGTATTTATATATATATATATTATATTCTTATAAGAATTATGACGTAAAAATAAGTTTGACAAATGTCAAACGTTTAGGAATTTGTAATGTTTTTTTCATTTAATTTTGTTCAATTTATTGGTGATATAAGACACATTACGTTTAGAAATATTTACAGCATTTCAAGGAAGAGTATTCTATTTTATCCATGTATATTGTTTTAATTGTTGTTGTATAATGTTCTTACAATGTTATTATTTGTTCCATTCAGCGTGTTTCTGTATTATTTCATACAATCATCACTACTTCTCGTCCCTCTAGTATCAAGAGGTGTCGGTCCTATGAGAGTCTATTGTAGCATGTTTTTATTCCCAAAAATTTTAAGTCAGTAGGCGCTCGCACTCGGAGCGGCTTGAACGTTTTTATTATTATTAATATATATTTATATTTCGTTTTCATTTTACAAGTTTTTCCATCTTTCATAATTTTAATATTTTTATACCGTTTTATACAACAGTGTTTATATATAGGCGTTAACTACAACATAAATAAACAAACCTCCTTTGATCAGCGTTCGAGTTCTACAAGTTTCGGAGTTTGACAGTTCGCGGATATTAAAAAAAAAAGAAGAGAATCCAACCTGACGCTCGAGGAAGATGGCCGGCTGTGTGTCTGTCGGTGTGTCCGTGACGTACGACGACCGGAAGCTGCACTAGGATGCTCAACTTTCAAAATATTTGACGTCTGCTCCACCCGTGAGTATTCACAATATTATTAACATAATAAAATGCGTCGTGACGTCGGCTGTATGTACTAGTAAGTCGTACATATGCGACCTCAGTCTACGTAGCGTACTGGCATGCGACGAAATTAGCCGGGAAATTTGAATTTGGAATTCCTTTAATGTATAAATAGTGCGCCGGTGAGGTCGGCTGAACATAATTTTGATGTCGGCAGTAAATTAAAGAGCTCCATAGTGCCGGATCGCTGCTAGTGTGACTATTGATTTTTTTCCCTCATTCTGTTAAATTTCATTTATTTGGGGGAGCGACCGGTCAGTGACGTGAACTATTGGATGTTGACCGCTAGCATTTGATGCGAATATCGACATCTTACATACTTATAACTTACACACTCTTTAACAATAATAATTACGTTTTTTATACTTTCTTTTTTATTATTTATACTTTTTAAACTATTCATTAAACAGATAATAGTTTTAACTAAAATCTAACTTAACAATTGTTATCATAAAATCTGTGTATAAAAAACTTCCTTTAATTTTTCTTCTTAAGTTTTGTTTTGTTGTTTTATTCTCAAATATATTTTTAACTTCTAATAACCGAACTTTATTAATTCATGTTAATGTAACGGCCCACGTAGCTTCTGATTATAATTATGTCAATAATTTTAAGTCTCATATAAATATATGGTTCATTAAAATTAAAAATTAATTTCATTAAAATTTCAACTTTATTTGAAGTTTTAATAAATATGACTTTTCTAAATACATGTATTTTAATTGTATTTTTTTTTAATTCTTCTTCCTTAGTTAATGGTATCTCCTTATATATTTCGGCAATGTCGACCAATATTATACTAAACTTTTCTCTAATAAGACAATTTAAAATTTAAATACCTATTTATTTATACTCTATATATATTAAAAATTTATTTATCTGACCAGTATCAGGTATATTAAATATATACATATATACACTCCGTCAATCTATGTATACGTATCAAATATACTCAAGCGCCTGAAATTATATTCTTAGCAAATCCTACAATTATCTACATTGCTATTTATTTTGTTTAATTAAACATAATTAAATTTAATTAATTTTTTTTAAAAATCTTTTTATTTTATTTTAAGATATACAAATAATATGTTTATTTTTTGTTGTTTTTCAAGAGTAATGCTTTTAGTTCCGAGGTAGATTATTAAAAGTAAATTGAAGTATTGTTACGGAATATTTTTCAGCGATCTTAAATATTTGTTAAATATATGTGTATATTATAATTCATGCTGATACAATATATTTATAAATATATATGTATGTATATAGTAGGTATTAATTTTCCCGTTGTTAATCTACACATACAAAAAAAATTAAACTGATATTTTTGAAATTAAATATTCAGTTTTTACTTAAAATTCATACATAATATGTATGGTACTTATAACATAAATATTATTTCACTGTCTGTTTGTTTGTCTATTCCTTTAATCTCCAATACAGATGGATCAAAAATCAAAAAAATATTGACAGAAATATGTAGTCGGTGTAAAAAGCGACTAAGGATAATTTAATTTAATAAATCGTACTTTTTACATTAAATGAAAAAAATAAAAAATATTTTTTTAGCGAACAAATTAGCTTTAATGTAAACAAGAAAATAATTAATAAAGTACGTATTTTGGTATAAAATAATAAGAATCCAGGAATTACAGGACACCGGAAGTGGAAAATAAGATCTCTTTTTAGAGTTTTCAATTGTACAAAATAAACAAGACTGAGTACAAGACCTTCAACTCGTCTTGAGCAAGATTACTGAAAAAAACTGGCTTAATAAAAAGGTTACTCTATTAATAGACACTGAATTAAATATAAAGTAATCTATAATAAATAATAATATTGTTAAAATACACTATTTTTTTATGAATATATCTTAACGTGATTCTGAAAATTAACAACAAAATTTTCTATGTATATAAAAATTGGTAAAAATATATTTGAAATTTAATTTAAAAAATTAAATTACTTTCCATTATAATAATTAATAATCATTACCTTTCAATATAATATTATTATTATTATATTTAATGTTTTAATATAAAAACTATTATTATCAGAGCAAACTAAGTTCTTAATTTGCTTATCTGAACTCGATTAATCTTCTTATCTAAGAAGATTAGTCTAAGACGGCGTATTCCTCTTTTTTTTCCTTGTTATTCTTCTTCCCTTTCCCGAATGAAACTACTGTTTGAAACAAAATGGCTATTATATATTTATATATATGTATGTACTTATATACATAATATGTATGTGTGTGTGTGTATGTTAAACACATCCAGTGCATGTCAAATGTTATAATGTTTCAATATTATTATTAACAATAATTTCCCTTTTATTGTTGTAACGGAATTACCAAAGGAAACACATGATGCAACACGTACATGATAACAAGTAGGGTGTAACTCAGAAACTAACGAACATACGTACATACATAATAAGTGAAGAATATATATGTTAAAAATAGCTATATAAAAGGACCTTGTATGTATATAAAAATCATTAAAATTTTGGGATAAAGATATATTAATTGATAAGAGAAAATATTTATTTTAAACACATGTATACAAAAGATAATATACTCAAATATTGTAAAATTTCATTTACTAATAACCACTACGTCATTTCCCCAAATTTAGTGTGACGTCACAGGAATTAAACCAATCCGTCATTTGACAAGTGACGACAAATTCGAGTATCTATATATAGAAGGAAATAACAATAATCGTCTGTTCGTATGTCTGTTAGAACCGATTTTTGAAACTACTATATTTATATTGAAAGGACTTTCACGTGCAGATAGATGAAGTGAAAGGAATTAATTGTTTTTTTATCTTAGAATGTATGCATATATAATAGATGATAAACCAAAGTCACTTATTTAACTGGTTGTAGAAAATACAATTTATTTGATATCAATGGAAATAGTAGATTTATATGAAAAGGGCTTCCCCAAGTCCCAACTTTCACAGATGATTAATTTCTATTCCAATCATCAGACAATGACTTCAGAATGATGAGCAATGAGTCAATTTAAGTCTTCCAAAAAACCAGATCTTAACTAGCGTTCAATTAATTCTGTATTCGACGGTCGTCTAGTGTTTCCCCGTTCACTAATTCGCGTCTTTTAATTGGTTACATCCGATTGTCCTCAACATGCGCGTGCGCATCACGCGTCATAGGGTCCACGTCCCACATGGGTTTTGAGATTACATAATATTAAATTTAATTATGCATACCATAGAGGAAAATACAAATAAATATTTTTTTATATAATATATACATATATTTTGAGACAGTATATAAGAAATTAGATTATGGTCTATGTTTCATGCTATTACGTCATATTTTTGTATGTGAAAGTTTTTGAATTATGTTTCATTAGTGTCTAATATTATTGCACATTGACGTCATGAATAAATTATCGGTTTTCTGTGTGTGTGTATGACCGACATACATTTATAGTAACGTCTCAATGACTTAGGTTCTGGTGACTCCTTAGACCTTGACACTATTGCAAATAATTAAAAATGTTACTACTACTAGCTATTAGTTTTGATATAAAATGATTTAAATAATCTATTTTCATTAATACTAATAATTTTTAAATCAATATTTATATGCTTTTCTCATGTTTTAGTTCGATAACTTTAAATTTAAATTTCGTAATTACTATACAAAGATTTATTAATTCAAATAATAGATAATTAATATTAAATAATTTTATTAATACTCAGTCTATCATAATTATGAATAAAATTTAAAACACTAATTAATTGAATAATAAATTAATTGTTCATACACTATTATTACATCACATAACACTATAAGTCAACACATATGAACCCAGCTCGTCTTTGGCCTATCGGGCATCCATTTCTTGAGAACATGTGATGAAGAATCTTGAACTTCTTCCTCAAGCCAGTAGCTGTTCTTCTCAAGCCGATGCCTCTCTTCTTCCTATCTTTGTCACACTCACAGGGCACCAGTGGCGATAGTTCTCCAGGGAGAACCGAATATAGGCTATAGTCTTCGACTTTGCTTGGTAATCCGAGTAGGAATTGGTGGAAATCTTGGATGTCTTGCTGGATTTTGTCTGGAGAACAGGAGCAGATTTCCTCTCCACTCACAAGGAGTAGGAGGGAAGATGCTAGTATAGTTTTTAGGAACATCTTGCTTCACGTTTAATGTATATCTGATGGCGAATGGATCCTGTGCGATGTTTTATACCCCGCTAGTAGTGACTCACTCCCGATAGTAATGACGTACGACTACGTACTTTAGGTTTCTCAGTAAAGGGTGTGAACAGTTAATACTATTGTTACAAAATAACGATTTCTTTATCATCAATATAATTTATGTGTATATTTTTTTGTGTATATTATGTCGTAATTATATCAAATTATCCAACGATTTTCGATAATAGCTGCAATTAAGTAAATATTTTTCAGATATAATGGACAGTTTTATTGATATATATAATATGAAACAATTATTAGTTAGTTTAAAAATCTTATATTAAATAAAAATAATATTGGGTACATATTGTATTGAAAAATATTCATTTATCTTGCAAGAATATTAAGCAATTGACATTTTGAGAGTTGGCTTTCCAAGTTATATCTTCATTCATTAATAAACACATTAAATTAAAATTAACTTAAGTAAATAAAATATAATGTATTTTGTTTTCTAAAAATATGAAATTTTAGTTATATTTATTTGAACTAAAAGTTCAATCTTATTATAAGTCACGTACAAAAAGTCCAAGACTATATAATATAATAACAATAAGCTTGTCAGTCCGTTCATCAAATAATATATATAAAATTATTTTTATAAGTATTCGTCTTAACTTTCTTTCTAATAGGTATCTTAATTTACTTTCATTCTTAATGTCCATATAACACGCTTACCAAAAGTTTGCATCGTCACTACACACGTAGCGTTAACAGTATTTCATTCATACTTCACACATTAACGTAAATTTTTGAATGAGAGACGGAAAATCTTTAGTATGAAGTGTGACATTACTTGTGGTTAACAGAAAAGTTGCATGTATTTGTATGCTTTAACCTTCTATGTAAATATAGTTAAATGTTTAAATTAAGACATAGAAATACGCATTTAATAATATCTAAGAATTCTTGAATGAAACTGAGTTTTCTCTAACTAAATAATCCAAATGTTTCGGTTCTTATGATGAGATGAAAGTGTCCATATAAAATCAAAAGAAGCGTAGCATCCATAAACCCTTAGTTTCATTGACCGAATTTATTTTTCACTAGCTTTCCGCCCGCAGCTTCGCCCGCGTGGAGTTTGGTTATATCGCGTTTCCAAGAGAACCTTTCAAAAGTCCTTGATAAAAACTATCCTATGTTCTTTCTCAAGGTCAACTCTATATCTATACCAAATTTCATTAAAATTAGTTCAGTGGTTTAGGCGTGAAAGCGTAACACACAGACAGACATAGTTACGTTCGCATTTATAATATTAGTAGGGATAATAATAATGTCTTCTTTGTATGAAATGGATGATTTCACACCTATTTGTTATTAACTAAATTATGATACACAATTATATGGATATCAATCGACTAAAGTACTTTAATTGTATTAGTATAATATAAAATTAAAAGCATCATATATATGGAGTTTTTATCCGTATTATACACGCCCTGGTCGTAAAGGGAGTTTTGAAGTACCAAATATCAATACAGTTATATGTCAGTCAATAAAACAGTGTCTGTCACGCTGAGTAATGGCATACTATGAAAATATAAAGATTATTCAATTAAAGTACATTTAGAATTAAATTCTGATATTAATTTTCTTTTTCTACCTGGCAATTTCCCAGCTTAAGCCAGGGTCTGCCTTACATGTTATGAATAGTTTTGGATAATTCTTTTTACGACAGGCCGCCTGCCTGACATCAACCCTCTTTGGGAATGCATTAATCAGTGATGTCTAAATACTCTTAGAATGTACATATGATTAAGAAACATCACATTGGTACTAGCCAATATCGAACCCGCGACCATGCATGAGAGGCGGGCCTTTTAACCACTAGGCTACTATTGACTTATATGAATTTTGTTTATTAAAAAACATAGATATGTAGATTCTGTAAATGGAATAGTTTGTATTTTATTTGTAAAAGGTCCTATTTTGACTTCAGTGGTATTAATCAAGAAGGAATTGTATTAAACATTTTTTTCGTAATAAACATAACATCTATTTTCTAAGTTGGGTAATATATAGTAACAGTATATGTTAATATTTTTTTTATTTTATCAAAACTAGTTTAATATTCCGAGCTCGTAGATCGTTATTCTGAATGGTATTTACCTGCATCGGAAATACCTCCATCATTACTCATCCATACTACTGACTGGCTTAAACACGAACAATTCTTCTGCTTTTTTTGACTGCCATAAGATTAACTTTGAGTATATTCTTTAAAACTTATTTATATCAAATGTATAAGGAATTTTTAAATATAACTATGTATTAACTATCATAGATTTAAGATAAATTGATGACTTTGAGATTTTAAATAGAGTTTATAAATAAAAGTTATATATATAAAAATCACAAAATATAATTCGGAGCTTAAAATATATTTCACACTAGCTTTCTTCCTGCAGCTTCGCCCGCGTCGAGTTCGGTTATATCGCATTTCCAAGAGAACCTTTCAAAAGTCTTTGATAAAAACTATACTATGTTCTTTCTCAAGGTCTACTCTAACTCTGTACCAAATTTCAATAAAATCAGTTCAGTGGTTTAGGCGTGAAAGCGTAACAGACAGACAGACAGAGTTACTTTCGCATTTATAATATTAGTAGGGATACAATTGAGAGATAAGTTTCAGTGATTCATAAAGCCGTCATACGTATGTCTGTATGAAAGTGGAAATCTGTTTAATAGGAATTATACAGTTATTGAGGTCAAAGAAATCATGACTGGTCTAAATGGTTTAGAGAGATGATTGACTGAAGACGAAAGAAATTAAAACCAATATTTTTTGATATAAATTTTTCAGTTTATCACCAATTTAGAAACTTATGTATTATGAAAACTGTATATAATTGAATTATTTACTGTTTTTAGTATGTAGTGAATATTAATAAAAAAAAATATTTATTTAATTTTGATATAGAAACCTAAATCATTACAGTACCTGAAAGAGGGTTCAATAAGCGAGGGTTTTATTGCAGTGATTCCTAGTTTTTGAAGTCAAATTATCAATAGAATTATCATTATTCTTTAATATATTATTGACATTAAGGCTTCACGATGTAATGAGATCTTAGACATCTCGTCTTAGTGATTACGGTTGCTGAAAAGTAACCGAAACGTCGGGAGTATGAATAATAGTTTTTAACATAAATAAAGGACGCGTAGTAGGTATATCCGAAAAATATTAGTTTCATTTAAATATATAATGTAAATTTTTCAAGTACTTATATTGTGGTAAGGTTGGTAGTTACCAATACTACGTTTAGTATAATGTAGTGTCATCTTGGGTTAAGATGAATCACTTTTTCGATTGTAGTCTATCATGTGGTATGAATGCCATTATTAGTGTTCCACGTAATTGTAGTTCTTTTTTATGTAATATTGTAGTGGCATAGTTATTCATCACAAAGACTGGTTTTCCTCTCAACGCTTCTTCTATATATGTAGTAAGGATCCAAAAATAACAGTACTTGAGGCTATCAAATTCAAATATAACTATGTTTAAATTATGAAATATATTTAATAAATATTTTATGGATGAACTTCTGATCATAGAATTAACTTGATGTAAATTTATATTTATTTATTTTTTGTACTTTGACAACCTTTGTCGAGAACGTGTACAGGATATGCATATAAGAGAGTAAAACTTTAAATTATTCAACGTTCTTTCACACACTAATACATTAAAAACACATAATAGAAAAGAAACAACAGTATATTTAAAAAACAAGTTTATTTTTTAAACGTATTACCAGTTTTGGAGTTTATATTTGTTAGCAATGAATCTCGGAATACATAACATGTCACGTCTTACAAAACCGGATGGACAACTCCATCCGATCGGGACTAGTCTTTTTCTTCTTTGAAGGCAGTTTGTACATGGTGCTGAAGGAATATCATTAATTATTTCACTGTTAACACCCTGTAGATCACTTTTACTGATACGGAAGCCGGACGATAGTTCCACAGTTATCAGAACAATACACAAAATAACGAAGAATTTCGAAGACATTTTAATATACAGTGTGTTCACAACGATGAGTGTACTGGGTATAATGTATGATTTAGTTTTCCTCGCATTTAAATACAATAATTATAATAATAATGACATCAATGCGGTCACCGAGATTATAGAAGTGACGCCAGGACTAATTAGGCATCGAATATATTTGACGTAGGGTTATCAGGAAATTAAAATTAGTGTTTATAAAATGATTCATATGTATTAGTATTTTTTGTTATATTTTTCTAACGATGCGTCTATTAATCGACTTTTTATCAGCGCTTATAAAATCCGTTGAAGCTCATGTATAGACAGAATTACTTACGTATTATCAAAGAAAGTTTAAAAGGTATACGATATAAGAATATAGTATAAATAAAATCATTTTTTAAATTAATTTAAGAATATTTTGGAATCTTTATGACGTCATTCTAGTTTAGAAAAACACCTTACCTTTTTTAGTGTTAAATTAACAAATTATCTATGATTGGTTACTCACTTTATGAAAGTCAAAGTTGTGTATGTCTGGTAATAAGTACGGCGTGAGGCGTCTACATAATCCACTGATAGAAGGAATCTTGGAAAGTATATATAGTTTGAATAGTTTCAGTACATTTAAATGTTCAGTATATATTCTTATTAATGAAAAATATTAACAAATCTATTGTTTTGTTTATATATCTTGAAGTCTTTTATCTATAAGGTCTTAAATTATCTCTCATATAGGTAAATTTTATATATACAATACGAAAATTATAAAAAGAACATTGTTTTTATATGTCAGTATTATAAAGTGACTTCATTTTCTATACATATAGACAATATTAATTTATTGTTTATTTAGTACTAACCACGAATCTAAATCGTCAAAATACATTCAAAATTCACACATTTTCATACATTAAAATTCGTAACAGTTTAAAATTAG